GTTGTGGAGAGAGCCCCAACCTTGTTTGTAAAGGTTTGGTCGCCGCCTCCAAGGGCACCAATAGTGGAATCACGGCATCTCGCATTGTGTGAGGGCGTGAGGAGAATACGATGGCCCTAGTGGCTTCTTGGGGAGCATTGTGCCTCCACACCGCACCAACGGAGACGTACTTCCCCTCAAAAGGAAGAAACTTCGGTAACACATCCTCATCTTCATCGGCTCCACTCTTGGTTATCTCGTGCCTTTACTTGTGCAATCTTTTTGTGTTGTATCCTTAGCTTGCTTGTGTACTTTTTGTTGTTGCATCATATAGGTTGCTCACCTCTCGTTGCATATCTAGACAACCTACTTTGATGCAAAGTTTAAATTGGTAAAGAAAAGTTAAAAAATTGTTAGTTGCCTATTCACCCCCTCCCCCCCCCTCTAGTCAACTATATCGATCCTTTCACACATCACTATAAGCCTTGCAAGAAATGTGACTAATGAGTTAGTTACGGGATGATGCATTACGGAATGAGTAAAGAGACTTGCCAGTAATGAGATTGAACTAGGTATGAGGATACCGACGATCGAATCTCGGGCAAGTAACATACTAATGACAAAGGGAATGACGTATGTTGTTATGCGGTTTGACCGATAAATATCTTTGTAGAATATGTGGGAGCCAATATGAGCATCCAGGTTCCGCTATTGGTTATTGACCACAGAGGTGTCTCGGTCATGTCTACATAGTTCTCGAACTCGTAGGGTCCGCACGCTTAACATTCGATGACGATTTTATATTGTATGAGTTATGTGATTTGATGACCGGATGTTATTCGGAGTCCCGGGTGAGATCATGGACATGACGAGGTGTCTCAAAATGGTCGAGAGGTAAAGATTCATATATAGGACGATAGTATTTGAACACCGCAAGTGTTCCGGGGGTATCGGGTACGTATCGGGTCACAGGAAAGGGGTTCCGGGCACCCCCGGCCAAGATATGGGCCTTATTGGGCCTAGGGCGGGACAGACCAGCCCCTAGTGGGCTGGTGCGCCCCATACATGGCCGAATAGGGGGGAGGAAAGGGAGAGAAGAGAAAGGAAGGGGGCCAATTCGGCATCCCCTTTCCTTCTCTCCCCCCTCCTCTTTCCTTCTCCCTCCGAAAAACATGGAAAGGAGGGAGGCCGAATAGGATTAGGCCCCAAGTAGGATTCCTACTACTTGGGGCGCGCCTCCTGCTGCTCCCTCCCCCTCCCACCTATATATATGTGGGGGGCACCGCTAGAACACACACCAAGTCTTCTCTTAGCCGTGTGCGGTGCCCCCTCCACAGTTACGCACCTCGGTCATATCATCGTAGTGCTTAGTCGAAGCACTGCGCCGGTAACTTCATCATCACCGTCGCCACGCCGTCGTGCTGACGGAACTCTCCCTCGTCCTCAACTGGATCAAGAGCTCGAGGGACGTCATCGTGTTGAACGTGTGCTGAACACGGAGGTGTCGTACCTACGGTGCTTGGATCGGTTGGATCGCGAAGATGTTCGACTACATCAACCGCGTTACTAAACGCTTCCAATTTCGGTCTACGAGGGTACGTGGACACACTCTCCCCTCTCGTTGCTATGCATCTCCTAAATAGATCTTGCGTGATCGTAAGAAAATTATTGAAATAATGCGTTCCCCAACAGTTGAACTGTGTGAATTTTGCCTGTTTGATGATCTTTTGATGATGTTTATTTGAATTGTATCCGTTTCGCATCGGTTTATATGTCCGTTTTCTGTCGATTTTGATCATTAGGTGATATACGTACTACATTTGATGAATTTGTATGGATATAGGGTGCCGAATATGAGATACGTGATTGTAGGTGCGCGAATTTAGGGACTGCCCGGTCACTGTCCACGGACACATCGGACGCGTCCAAGGAGTATAGGGTGCCGGATTTCGCAGGTCCGAATGTAGATGCTCTATGGAACAAACCATGCATGCAGATGCAGCGGCACGAGCATTGAAAATGGAGTGCTTCTCGGCATCCGGGGTAGGTCGAGGGAACTAAAGGAAAACCGGACGTTGATGCCATCCCATCCAAGCACGAGAAAGCATCGATAGCCACGATAGTCAAAAAAGAGAAGAAACGCACTTGCCCTTGAGGAACCACCAAGGTGATCCAGAGGTCCACTTTCACTGGGTCTGGAGTGAAGCAAGTTAGTGGCTGCTCGGCTCCCGTAAAGAGGACAAGCACCGGAACTACTACAAAGTGTAATAAGTAGGAGTAGATTCTTTAGAAGAGAGAGGCAGGAGAAGTTTCAATATGTGGCTCGTGTTTTTTTGGTCTACATGCCACTACCTTTCTTTCTTTCTTTCTGTGTACTACGGAGTAGTTTTCTCCTCGCCGGCGCCCCGGAATAGTCTCCGTCGCGGTCCAAGCACGTGGGCATGCACTTGAGAAGGGCCTCACTCGGTTCAAATTCTGGATCCAGCCCAATCCATTGCACGCTGTTTTTGTACATAGGTACGTACCTTTCGTCAAAGATTTTGTTTCCCCAATTCTGTACTCCCTCCGTTTTTAAATATAAGTCTTTTTAGAGATTTTAATATAGACTACGTACAAAAAGAAATATAGACTACGTACAAAGCAAAATAAGTGAAACTATATAAAAAAGGTTTATATACATCTGTATGTAGTTCATATTTAAAACCTTTAAAAAAACTTATATTTAAAAACAAAGAGAGTAGTTTTTTTTTCTTGTCTGCATTCTATGTTTACCCTCGTAATGTTTCGTCGTTGTACATGCCATGCATGGTCTCACGCCCATGTGTGGCAGGCAGAGTGCGGGAGGTGAAGCGTGGTGGCAACGTGCAAAGAAAAAAGGTGTTCCTGGGAGGATACGTCCATGGAGTTGGGGACGAAGATTCTCACCGAAACGTCAAAAGCCAATAGTCCACTAGCTAGCTAGCGTTTCTGAACCTTCTAGCCACCAGGTCAGCAGGATCCGGGAAGACGGCATGGTATATAAGCTCGTGCGGATCCACGAGACATTATCTGCGAAATCGATCGACTGTGACCCCCACCGACGTCAACCATACCTGCCAGGACCAGCAGGGAAAGGTCCTTGCACTATGGTTTCCCAGCAAAGATTGCTTCGCCATCGAGTTTTGGACCAAGTAATTATGCAGCAAATAGATAGAAAAAGAACTACATCGGCAGCTCAAGGTGGATGAGAGCAAGTAGATACTCCCTCCGTCCCATAAATTATGTGCTAGTGTCAATAACGCACTTATATTATGGAACGGGGGAAGAAGTTCTGAGTATCATGGGCCAAAACAAAGCTAAAGTCGCAAAAAAAAAAGGAAAAGCACGAGCTGGTAGGGCTTATTAGTTGGAAAAGGCTTATCTTCTACCGGCCGATTGCACGCGTCCGTCCGCCGGCTCCGTGGCCGTTTGCTCGTGTGTTGATCAGACGGTCGACAGTGTCCCCACGTCCGTCGAAGCCGCATCTGTTTTCCTGCAACTCATCTGTTGTTTCAAGACAGTCATTCCTGCAACTCATCTGTTGTTTCAAGACAGTCATTCCTGCAACTGGGTAACAGTACGGGGTTTCGGGGCTCATCTGGAAATCGCGTCTGTTTTCCTGCAACTCACATGTTGTTTCAAGACAGTGATTCCTGTAACTGGGTAACAGTAGGAGGTCTCGGGGCTCGTCTAGATTAGAGGGCGAGGGGCTGGATTTGGGAGCCGGCGGACGGGTGCGGCGGCGCAAGGCATTGGGCCACCAGGCCTTATCCATCGCGGTGGCGACGACGACTTGCTTGGGATCGGCGGTGGCCGGCAACGACTCAAGCGGCTACGATTCAGAGATCGGCGGTTTCTGCAACAAAGATCTTGTTTCAGAAATAAAAAACGATTCGGTGGTGAAGTTTTTTTTTCAGAGACAGGGTCTAGTTTTAGAAACTTTCTGCAACACAGGTCTTGTTTCGAAAAAAATGGTTCGGCAACGAAGTTTTTTTTCTTCTGCAACATGGGTCTTGCCTCAGAAACATAGCCCCGGTTGCAGAAAGTGTTGGAGGAGCACACGATGTTAGAGCGGACGAGGCCAAGCATTGCAAGACGACGCATGTTTCAGAAAACATAGCTTCAGTTGCAGAAATCGTCAAAGGAGTGCCCAGCGTGGGAGCTCATCACCGTCATGCTGAAGTAGAGGCCACGGCTGTTCTCGAAGCAGGCCCCCTCGGTGAGCTCGATTTAGTCAAATCTAACCATGATGCACCATAGTGTTGCGAAAACTTCAATTTAGTTCCTGCACGCCGGTGGGCTGATTTTGCGGTGGATTGACGGCGACGCCATGCAAGGCGCAACTCTTTCAGGGCCGGGGGCAATAGTGTTGTTTCCGCAACAAAGCATTTGTTACGGAAAATAACGAGTGGGCATACGGGACAGACACTACATCCAACGGCCGTCGAGGCAAGCAGATAGAATCTAAGCATCGGCCGGTGAAAGCGTAGCGTCACCCTATCTCGAAAGGCACTCGGGGTCAGGGGAGCGTACCATTTGCGGAGGGCACACGCAGAACAAAATTGTAAGACAATGTTGCTGCTCCTTAAACAAAGAAATAAGTATTCATAATGCTGAGTATTTCAAATTTTCAACCGAGCAAAATATTCACAAACATTTAGAAGAATTATGCCCACCTCGACCAAAATCAACGCTTTGGAGATCAATAAGTTACAGCTGCATGAATATAATCGAGGCTTAGGCCATATATATCCCAAATTGTATCAGTAGTACCATTGTGCACTCTTATTGCCGACTCAAGAAACAGGGCGGGCTGCTCATCGGTACTCCATGAACCGAAACCATAGTTGCTAACTATCTTACAGGGGTTACAAAAGTGAATTGAGTGGCTGCATAGCCACCCTAGTGTACATTGTCAACTCAAAAGGAATGCCCAGCATCACTTAAAAAGAATAATAACACACACAGTAGGCAAAATCTGGAAGGACAAAGACAGCTAATCGCTAGCATGCACACCCGCCTCTCTGTTCAGTCTCGGGGACAGGATCTGCAACTGTTTGGAAGTAGCTGAACGGCAGAAAAGAGGAGGTTGTGAGCAACCAAAAATACAACATTAATAGGTGTAAACAGCTCTTCTATCTTTGTTGAACCTAGTTAGAGGTACCCTAATAAACACAAGCTAATTGTTAGATTTCAAAGAGTTGCATTTTTTCTTGTCGTGACGTGACATCTTAGGAGCAATCTCCTGTACAGAGGTTCAGCACATCAATAACTCAAAAGATCAACAAAACAGAGTTTCCTTAAGAGCTGTCATGCACATTGATAGTCTTAGCGTTTGCAAAAACAAAGTTAGAAGTACTGTACAAGTATGAACAGAAACTTAAATTCATACTAAAAATATTAACTTTGTCAGAAGCCTTACACAGGACATCTAAACAATTGTCTAAATAAAAATCCTCCATAGAGGATATATAACAGAATGCAGCTATCCAAGCAGGTTGTGTATGGACTTCCAGTTTAAGATGACAGAATATTCAAGAAAAATAGAAATCATGAATACCCAAGATAAGCTTAATCCATGTTAAACAAAACCTTACTGACAAAAAATGATGCAAGTAAGCTGACTCACATGTCCTGATCATGCTCATGCTCTAGAGCAAGCTTTGCAACAGACAAAAATGCTTCATCGACGTTGTAGTCTTCTTTTGCAGAAGTTTCATAATAAGGAATGTTCCCTTTTGAAGAACACCAATCCATTGCTTTTTTCTCAGAAACCTGTGTGAAAATTAGTCAGTGGTGCATCTAGAGACAGTTGTACGTTATATTTGCAACAAAAACTGACCACTCTGCTTTTGCCACCATCTACGTCAATCTTGTTCCCAAGTAGGATGAATGGGAATGTTTTGGGATCTGAGGGGCTAGCCTAAAAATCAAATGGAAAATAGACATGTCAATTAAATTCATCAAGACGCTACAAGCACTACAAGAGATAGAATTGATAGTATGGCAAATCTGTTTGTATGATTAAACATATGCCCGGACATTAAAAAACACAAAGTTAACCTGATAGCCCACCAAACAAAATACAGAAATCAATTAAAGGGCTTCACATAAAAATCAAAATACCCAAAAAAAATCTGCATCAACCAACATTGTCAGCAACAAATGTACTCTATAAATAATATATTCTGTTCCAATATTATGCACATCCAGATATTTATATATATGCTTGGAGAAGTAACATAAGATCTTAATAACAATATAAATGACCTTGCTACATACACCAGAATTATCAACAGCCGTAACAGTAAGCAAAACTAAATAAGTCTAGATTGTGTATCAAGCACTAATAAACTTGAAGTGACCGTTCACCTTGCCGGAATTTACATCAATGCCATGACATATGCATCTTCAAGGCAAAAGGCAGTGGCAGAGCTTCAACGAGATTTGAGACGGTGCTAAATGAGCTTTGAACAAAGTTGAGGACCCAAAATAGTGTAAATATAAGTGCTAATCTGAAGAACTCCTTTTTGCTGTTGGGGAGTGGCCCCCTAACTAAGCTCCGCCACTGGCAAAAGGTTAGGTATTGATACGCTTTCATTGCTCAATTGCAGTTCTAGAGATGTTGACGGTGCCTGTGCAGCTTTAATAAATTGCCAGTTTGCATAGTGAAACTGCTGAAGTATGAAAGTTGGCAAGGTAACTTAATATGTCATCATAGCAAACCATAACTGCACCTATATGAGTAGTTTATTAGCTTATAGGCCTTTATTGCTCTTAAAGAACACATAGGGAAAAAAGATACTCCAGCATGCTCGGATCTGATGGAGTACTATGTTGGCATGCTGAAGCCTTAGAAACATAATGGCAGCATCATATCAAGCTGTCATCTCATAAGAACAATGTTGGAACAACAAGTGATGAATTGCTCTACATTGTATATCTACAACCATGATCAGGCATCAAATGACATGCAAGATAAAATAATCTTACCTGATTGAGGAACTCATCATGCCATGTGTTGAGCGTATCAAATGACTTGTTAACATTGACATCATAAACAAGCACACAGCAATCTGCCCCTCTGTAGAATGCGACACCAAGACTCTGAAATCTCTCCTGCCCGGCCGTGTCCCAGATCTAGAAACAGAGCAACCCCAGATGTGATTACAACAGCAGCCCATTTCTTCACTGTGAAAGAGCTGCAACTAGGCATTCCACTCACCTGCAATGTGACAAGCCTGTCTTCAATGAGGACCTCCTTAGTGACGAAATCCGCACCAATGGTAGCTTTGTACTGCTGACTAAACTTGTTGTGAACATATCTAAATAGAGTCAAGCATATCAAAGCCCACAGAGTACAAAAATGAGGCTAACATTCCAGAGCATATACATGGGCGTCCTTCTTCCAATTCCATCTTTGTTAAATTGAATCATTATCCTCACAAACACATGCACCAGAGGGGATTTTCAGCACAAAATTCATGTTCAGAAGCTGGGGTTTGCTGCCAAATGCGTTCTTGCAGCTAAATGGGTCAAACGCTTGCGAGTAAAAGGCACAAATTTGGCACATGGTCAGGCACCGGTGCGTCAATTGCTTAGAGCGAGCAAAAACGAGAAAAATACAGCAGAGCACGGATGAATCCGGCAGCGGTTAAACGATGGCGGAGCAAATGCGGTCCATTAGGGGTCAATGCTAGGATACTGGTTCATGAGCGACGTCTTCCCGACCCTGCACAGGAGGACCAAATCAGACAAGCACGGGGATTACAGCCACAGCCACAGCCACATCCAAATCGAGCCCCCCACCCACCCGAAAGAGAAAAACTGAAAATTTCGCAGAAATTAGTGGAATCCGCCGGGGGGACGGATCCGGGGGGGAGGGAATGGGCTTACCCGCTGTCGCCCAGGACGATGACCTTCAGGAGGGTCCTCCTGCGCGAGGTCGACATGGATGGGGACGATCGCGATCGATCTCTCCCGGCCCGCGGCTTGTCGGCTCGTGGCGAGGCGCACGAGGGGGGGAAAGAAAATGAAAGCACGGAGGGAGGGAGGGAGGCGGTGGTGGTGAATTCGATGTGATCTGGGGCGTGGTCTTAAATTTTTTGAAAGGGGTTCGTGCGAGGATGACCGTGGTGGATGGAGAGAGAGAGAGAGGAGGTGAGGAAGACGTGTGCCACTCTGCCACTGCCAGGCGAAGGAGGAGAGAGATGGCCGCCGTGGTGGGCCGGCTCGGCCACGCGCGAGGCAGGCCGCTTTGAAACGGTTTGGGCGTTTTTAGTTCACTGGATTTAAATTGCCCCCTTGCATCATTTGTGACCCGACCCAATAGAGCCTGGCTGAGTGAATAGCCAGAAATTCTCAAAAAAAAGCTAGAAATTCTAAAAAAAAAGAGAGTAAATAGCTAGAAATGTAAGATGTTTAGACGGAAATCCCTTTCGGAGCTTGGCCTCCAGTGAGGCCTCCAAATACAAATTTGAAATTTCATCGAAATTCATATTTTTATATTTCAAAAAATTCTGAAATACAGATATACATGAAGACATAACACACTTGTAAATTTTCAGTTCAAAATACATTGAAATGAGGGCTGTGCAAAAAAGACAAATTTGGAGCTATTTAACACATGATACTATTCATCCTCTCAGGCCATGAATTTATCTTTTTTATACAGGTCGTAACTCAAGGTATTTCGTCATGAATTTTTACACACATGTGGGTTACATCATTACATACACGCATATTTTTTCTCAAAAAAATTTGAACCACAAAAGTTTGAATTTGAATTTTTCAAAAACAAAGGCATCCATGGAGCTCGGCCTCCAAAACACCTCTCTCATCTTTTAGAGCACTATTTTAGCTTTTTTAGGAAACTACTTTAGTTATTTAAACGCATTTAGAGCACTACTTTAATAAATTGAACATTGCAGAGGGAGCTTCGGTAGTTCAGGTTTGGAGCTCCAACCAGAAGTTGAGGAGAATAATTGGCGTCGACTATGGAAAGTTAGAGTCCCAACGAAACTTAGGGTGTTGGTGTGGAGGCTTGTGAGGGTATCTTTGCCCACAGGTGAGGTTCGAAAGTACCATAACATAGCAGTTTTTGCAGCATGCTTATTTACAAATCGATTGTTGATTCTTAGAGACATGCTTTACTAAACTATAATATGGCAAAAAGTGTCTGATAACTTAGCGAGGATGATGCAACAATACCACTCTTCGGAGATGAAACACCGGATGCAAAGCTTTGGCTGTTCAACCTGAGTACAACACTAGAGAAACATACTTGCGTGGAAGTATTGGTGACTCTGTTGGCGGTATGGTGGGCTCGACATCGCGCGATACATTAGGATGAATTACATAGCCCCCAGTGTGATGCCCCGAGATCGATACTCTAGATGCCTTCCTTTTATTTTCGTTGTCATGTTGTATTTGTGCCTCTTGTCATTTTGCATTCTCATAATCATCATGTGCCTTGTCATATTCATGCATGTTACATTGTTGGATGCTCCATGTATGATCATGCATCATCACCTCCTCCTTCCTTCTTTCTTTCATTTTGGCAAGTGACCTTTTCCCCTCCTCCATAAATGTTCATTCTTTTCCTGATGCTAGTTCACCATGCCTAAACCCTCTCTGCCAATTTTCAGCTCATTTGAAGATGTTTTGGTTGGGTTCAAAAATGCGTCAAGTTTGAATTTAATTCAAACTTAGATTATTTTTCTACCTCTAAAAATTGCCAGAGCAATTTATTCAAATAGTGCATAAAACCAGGAGTTCATAGATATGTTTATATCTCGCGTATTCCTTCCCATAACTCCTAGCCTTTCTCTTAAATTATGTTTATTTTGTTTATTTGAATAAACAGAAATTTAAAGAGAGAGAGAGGGAGAGCCAAACCAGCCCATCTGGGGTCTCCAACCAGCAGCAGCACTGGGCCGGCCTCTAAGGCCCATTTGCCCCTAGGCCCACCTAATTCTAACCCTAGCCCGATCCCCATCTCACCCTCCTCCTCGTTCCCTCGCGCCGCCAGAGCACCCATCACTCGATCCCTTCTCCCTCGCAGCGCTGCACTCGCATCTCTCCCCTGCAGAACCGAGTCCTGCTCGGCCCCTCGTCCTCCTCCCATAGCAGCCCTCGCATCCGCGCCTGGCCCGAGCGCCTCTCCTCTCCTGCACCTCGTCCCCGACGCCGACAAGCCTGCCGCCGCGCGTGACCACGCCGGCCTCTCCTTCCTCCGCCTGACCTCAGCCATGGATGTGCATTGCCGCTACTCTGCTGCGCGCGTCCTGCCTCCTCTCGTCGGCGCCCAAGCCAGGACTACCTCGCCACTGCAGGACCTCCCCGACCTGCCTTCTCCTGCCCAAGCTCGTGGTTGCCCGGCCTCCCTCCATTTCGTCCCTGCTGCCAAGCCCTTCGTCGTCTGCCTGCCATGGCCTCCTGCCATGGGCCAGAGGTGCCGTGATACGCATCTCCGGCCTCGTCCCCATCCTCTGCTGCCCGGATCCCAGCGCTGGTGACCCCTCCAACCGTGCAGGGCTCCTCTCCATGCGCGCCTACACCCCTGCATCACTCCCAAAGGCCACCCCGCGCGCGACCCTGACGCCCTGCTGCAGCTGCTCTTCCCGCGCATCGCCGTGCTCCTGTTTCGTTGTGTTCCAGCCCGAAGGAGTTGGCTGCGTCAACCTCTTGAACGCCTCCGACCCTCCGATCACCACCATGGCTTCGCTAGCCTCCTCACAGCGCGCGTACCGAGCTGCCCCTGCCTTGTTCGACCACCACCATTGCCTCCTTGCTGCTGTCCACCCAAGGCCCTTGTGTTGCTTCATGTTGTACCGTCAAGACCGCAAGTACGACTACCACACAGGAACGCCAAGTACTTGGTTACGCCGAGTTCCTCTCTGAACGTGTGTACAAGTACCGTGGCTGAAGACCTGTGTACGACTACCGTATACGAAGAACCGTGTAACGGAACCGTCAAGTTCGACTACGACTCGTGTATGACTACGCGGGATTCCTCGGACGCCAAGTTCAACGATGCATCAAGTTCCTCGTCATGACCTCGAACATCTACGGAAACTCGTGCAATGATAAACATGTACCACTACCATCCCGAGATTGCGAGAACCTCTTCCGTCGACCCTAGAGCATGCGAGAACGACTACTTCCACTATGAACGTCCCGAGAACGTCTACTTCCTATACTTTGCACCAAACGAGAACCGTCCCGTTTGCACGCTTCGAAGGTATAACCTCGAGACGACGCCCGTGAACGAATGAATGCATGTTGTATGAGATGCACCCTTGTTTTGCCTCGAGTCTGAACTATCGGTGCACGTTGCCCCTCTTTTGCCTTGCCACCGACATGTGGGAACCCGATAATCGGGAGCACCCCACCATCCTTGCTTGACACGCTCCCGCCACACTACCTTTTGCACCGGTATCTCCGTGAGTTATCAGAACCGAGATGTTGCCGTGGCGCCATGTCCTTTTTCACTGCCGGCACCATTCCTGTTTCGTCACCGTGGCACCCTTTTGTTCCGCCATGGCGACAAATGCTCTAACATGCTCATGTCAACATTTTCATAAAAATTGCATAAACTTGCACATGTCATTCGCATCATGATAATAACATTTAAAATGTTTAAAATTGTTGTTTGCTTTAAATTGCTAAATGCATATGGGGATTTACCAGAATTGTTGTTTGTTCCGGCCTCATTTAAACTTGTTTAGATAGAGGTTTTACTTTTGCTTCTCCTCTTGCCATGTTAACCAACATTTAATATTGTTGAGTACCTAACCGAGAGTGAACTCAATAAGTCACGTGGTGTTCCGTCAATATGCAACTCGTTGCATATTGAGCTCCACTTAACTTGTAGTTTTGTTTGTGCACTTTGCCATGCCATGCATATTTAAACCAGACATGCATCATACTTGATTGTGCATCATGCCATGTTTATGTGATGGTTGTTTATTATGTTGCTTGTTTCTTTCCGGGTTGCTTCTCTCGTTAGCTTCGGTTTCGTTCTGGAGTTGTGAGGATCCGTTCGACTACATCTGTTTGTCTTCTTCATGGACTCGTTCTTCTTCTTTGCGGGATCTCAGGCAAGATGACCATACCCTCGAAATCACTTCTATCTTTGCTTGCTAGTTGCTCGCTCTTTTGCTATGCCGCGATACCTACCACTTGCTATATCATGCCTCCCATATTGCCATGCCAAGCCTCTAACCCTATTTTCCTAGCAAACTGTTGTTTGGCTATGTTACCGCTTTGCTCAGCCCCTCTTATAGCGTTGCTAGTTGTAGGTGAGGATGAAGTGTTTATGTTGGGATATCACAATATCTCTTATTTAATTAATGCATCTATATACTTGGTAAAGGGTGGAAGGCTCGGCCTTATGCCTGGTGTTTTGTTCCACTCTTGCCGCCCTAGTTTCCGTCATACCGGTGTTATGTTCCTTGATTTTGCGTTCCTTACGCGGTTGGGTTATAACGGGAACCCCTTGACAGTTCGCCTTGAATAAAACTCCTCTAGTAAGGCCCAACCTTGGTTTTACCATTTGCCACCTAAGCCTTTTTTCCTCGGGTTTTCGGAGCCCGAGGGTCATCTTTATTTT